CAGAGTCCCTGGTGGAGAACAGACTCCAACTGAAAATGTCATGTGTCTCCTTTTAAAGCAGGCAGAGATTTCCACCATGAATTAGCTGGTAGATATATCATGTATACTGTTTAGAGCTTGGTCGATGACTGCTGCAATGGTTTTTTTTGCTTCGAGATCCTCAACGTAATAGGCACCATTTAACTGTTATGATCATATTTTACTTCTTGAGTTACTTAATGTTCATCCTCCCATCCCCATGAATCCCTCTTCTTCTTCTCTCTCTTCCTCAGACTGTGTGGTAGCTCTGTATCGTTTTTAAATGCCAAATTATTGTTTACCTGTGTTTGTCAGTAAAAAAAAATGGGAAAGAATTAACTAAGCCGCTCTAATCTGTCCTGAAATCAGCTGCCTGCCTTAACTCCACCCCCTGAGAGATTTGGACAGCTGCTAGAAACGAATCCAACTGACCTTTTTTCTGCATTTGTACCACTAACTAGCTAGTTGAAGATGCATTACACATGCAAAGGTGCACACTTAGAGATATGTTAATTCATATAACAGGCCTAGTTTGATTGGGGCATTTGAAATGAATCCAAACCCACGTGTTAACATTTTCTTCCCATCCCCTCCATGCGCACACACACCCAGCCTGCATACAGCATATGCATGTATGTATACGCAGACGATGCATACATATATTTCTGTTTCTCTCACCTAGCTGTTTTGCTATCTATAACTGTAGGGACTGTTGGGTTTCACAGCAGTGTGAGTGAATCTGTTTTCCTCAGCAGTGTCCTTTATTTTTTTTTTATTCCAAGATATATTCAGACCGTTATTAATCTTATTCTGATGATTCTTTGTAAAGCAAAATGTAGTGTGTATGTGTGTGTGTGTGGACCCCAAGGGGTTACAGGGGGAGGATCAAGCCAAACCTGATGCATCTATCTCTATCTATCTATGGATTGATCTAGCTATCTTATCTATGTGGCCCTCCTCCCTCGCTCTTCCTGCCTCTCCCCCCTCAACGTTATTTGCTGTGTTTGTTCTTTGGAAAAATAAAACTTAAAAAAAATAAAAAATGAAAATGCTATCACAACAAACTATAATAAAACATTCTAAACTCTAAACATGTCATTTGGATGGTTATGTGGAGATGGAAAATACAGTGTTGGAAAAAAACACTTGAATTTGAAAGATCATTTGAATTTGTTGTCTTCTCTGTTGCCCATGCTGGCGTTCAGTGTATGTATGAATGAATGAATCATAATGGGCCCACTTGCTGTTTTACTGGATCTGATTTATCCATTAAAATGAGGGGGGGGGGGGGACTTGTGTGCTGTTGGATCCATGCCATTCGACCTTCAGCAGTCATGCAGATTGTATTCCCTGATGAAGGTCAGCCACCCAGAGCCTGCTTAACTTAATGAATGAAACATTTTTTAACTCATATGTAGTCATGGACGGTTTTCATGCTCTGTGTACGTGCATGAGCTTCTTATCACTGCCCAACATGAAATGCATTGGAAGGAACATGCAATGTTTTTGGGACATCACTAGATCTAAATGTGTTAGCTGGGAGGCTACTGTGGGCGTAACATGCTAGCATGAGAGCTGGAGCCAGTGAACTACAGGGTCATTTGTGTTACCTTTCCTAATTAGGCAAACTTAACAAGGGGTTAATAAATCTAAACTCATGGCTGGCTTACTTAATGGTTAATAACTTAAGAGTTTACCGTCCTCCTGTAATAAAAACCCTCTCTTTTCCTCCGTACCCACATCTCTAAAAACGGGGGAACAACGGAGCTGATCCAGATTTGCTGTGGTCATGACGACATTACTCAAATGTGGGCTGGCTTTACAACCCCCTATCAGAAACAATGCGCGATTGGAAGTAATATGGTCTGTGTTTACATTAGCAAGCATCGCTAACACTCAGAGCTGACCAGAGGCCTGTACTACGAAGCCGGATTTTCCTAACCTGGATATGTTTGAGTTAGCCGGTTGGCCCTATCTAGTTAGGTGCGCGTTCACATGAAAGTGGTGGTATTTGGAGCATTCAACTAATCTCAAACATGGACAAGCGTACTGACAGCGCAGCGTCATACTTCCTGAATGAAAAGTGAACTTTAATATTAGTCAAATATGAAGAAGTTAAACTTTAAACATCCATGACTTAAACACTTTATCCAGGATAAAAGCCACATAGCTGCAGCTGCAAGGTGAATACAGCTGGTAAAAGAAAAAGCGTTTGAATGCGTACATTAACAGGTTTATGAAATCACTGCCCCGTCCAATACACGAGTGGATCTGACTTTAATTACATTTGACTCGAGTGTTTCGTCAACTTAATGTGTTGCTTAAAATAATACTTCTGCATACAGTATGTGACACTGTGCGTGTTGCACGGCCAGATACGGCTCAAGAAGCTGACTCAGATAAGGAAATATATGATACATTATGATATGATATATGAATGATAATGGGACACATCGACGTCTGCACTCACAGTGCCGCGGACTGTACTTAATGTTACTCTGATCCGGTTACATGTTGTGGCAGATATTTAAGTAAGCTTTCTTAACGCTAATGTTATAATAGTCAGATTGCTCTGAAGATGGGAGGGGATATTCTATTAATTTTCACGTTCACACAGTCAGTTGATTTTTGCCGGCCGTCTTTCCTGCAACGGCAGTTTTTCTGTATTTCCTCTATCCTGTAATATGACTTGATAGCTTTAAACTCCGCACACGGAGCTCTGATTGGTCAGCAGGCGGTGCTTTCACTGAGTTGATCTCTTAGCCTGCAACCTAACCTCCTCCCGAGGAGGTTAGCCGCTCAGCATAAGTTACCATGGAGATCTAGCCCGCTAAAAAGAGAACCAGGGTCGTAGGACCGGAAAGCCCGAGTTTTCCCTGAAGTCAGCCGGCTAAGCGAAA